ACCACCTGTGCTGATGAGCGATCAGGCTCATGCGAAGCCAGCTGGCTCGGGTGTCGTATCCTCTCATCTTCCGGTTCCTCTTCCGTGGTTGTCTTTTCCGCCGGATTCCGGTGCTGAGGTTTTTCGAAGCAGCTTGCACACTGCACACTGCACACAGTACTGAGTACACTGTTATACCTAGTGCACAGTCACGACTCACCAGTGCAAAGTGTTGACATCACAAGCCAGCTGGGCAGTAAATGCACCCCGCGCCGGCCCACGGGCCACAATGCACATGGCCCTGGCGAACGCCAGCAAAGAACAGTGTCAACCTCCGAAATACAATCAGAATCTAGGGGCACGTATTAATAGATAACCACTGTGGGACGGGTAGGTTTAACTTTAGGGGGCCGGTTTTCGGGGTGGTACGCAGGTAGGGTCCTAGCTAGACCGGTACCTAGAGGGGGAGTATTTGGGGTTAGGTTTGAGGGGCATTAAACCGCGTCCTAGGAAGTGTCCTGTAGGAACCATTATTTAAAACTTCACTTTAAACTGATATCCGTCTGGCACCAGAATCGACCCGCTCCCAGGCCACAGCCCCGACCCAGCCGCCGGCGGGCGAACCCGTGAGCACACTGCATCATTGAGCACATGTGGTGCGGAACATGCATTATGCAGGCAGCACATGACAGCGGTACTTCGCGGCAGAGGGAAAATCAAACCCACCGTGGCAAAGCAGTCGGGGAAACAGCACCGGTCTTGGACAGCACGTGTCGAGAGTAGAAGACGAACCTCGGTTCTTTAGCTACCGGTTGAAGTTTTTCATCCCCATGCAGCAATCAAGTAAACCCCGAGGACAATCCCCCAGCTAGCAAAGTTGGGCGTGCTACAGGACGTAGATCAGCGAAGCGCTCTTCATTAAAGTCAGCTGTAAAGTCCTCGCCGAAAGCAGCTAGGATGATCGACCGCCCCATGTCTACGAAGTTTCCAGGTATCCAGACATCAAGACGTTAGCAGTTCAGCAAGGGCATGCATTTTCAGATGTGCCCCACGACATACCATAGGGCCAGGTTGTGAAGCTCTTTCAGTCGTCCAAGTCGTGATCAAGAAATTACTCCCCAAGAAGGTCGAAGCTCAGCAGTCCAGCAGAGCCCGCACCGCATTGATCAGTTCATCTTTGCAGCTCCGGCCCTCTGCGGTTGTGGGGTGGTTGTGCGCATATTGAATTCCTGGCACATTACACTTCTTAACATAAGAGCCTCCTGATAAGAAATACAACTCGGCACCTGCGCTGTGCTGGGCGCAGAAAACAGAGCCGCACGCCGAGCTGAACCAGCGGTGCAGCGCTCCTCAAGCAAATGGCGTCGCCCCCCCCTCCTCCTGGCAGCTTCAGCTCCCAGCTCTTTGCGCAAGCGGAGGCCTTGTCTGAAAACACGGGGGTCATCGTCATGCTTATTGTCAGCTTGGAGCTGGTTCTCTTTCTCTTAACCAGCTTTACTGATTTCCATAAGATTGGCTCCGAATTCACCATAGGATCCATTCTCACGGCCATCCTCCCACTGCAGACCGCGTTGGTGGGATATGCCAACAGCTATGCCGCCAATCAGCGGCAAGCCTTGATGGCCATATCGGCGGTGTCAATCCTGTGCCTGAGCCACCAGAGCAATTGGTTCGTCAACGTGTTCTCGTGGAAGAGCTTTGCAAACGTTATGGCCTCCTCTGCATCAATCCTTGTCAGCGCTTCAGCCGTCCTATTCACCACGGGGTTTAATGGGCATTACAGGAGGGTCCCCGTCTACGCCTTCGTGATTGTCATTTCTGTAGTGGAAGGGATGTCGGCGTTTTGGGTTGCTGTAGACATCTTGACAGCCGGGAGATCCGAGCGGCTCAACCCTTTGGACAGCAATGTAGATGGGGTCGCGGAGACGGTCAAGAACCTCATCGAACACTTGCAGCAGATTGTGCTCTCAGGTGGTGCACCAAAAGAGGGCGCAACCCCCACCAAAGCGAGCAAGGATTTGAGTGACAACCTGGCCTGCTTGTTGATGCGTAACCGGGATTTTTTCCGGGTAAGCCAAGCAGGTAGTGTGTGTTTTTTTCAAGAGAAAATACTTGTTGAGCATGTTTGAATTACCACCCTTTTTGGAATCTGGATGGAGGTTCCCTTGGTATTCACCACAGAACTGGTCAAGCTGGTATTAGCTTTGGTAGCCCTGACTAAGACGTGGATAGCATTTGCTTTTGATGCCTCACATAACTTCAGATGATCTTCTCATTTGCATCAGGACGAAATCGTCTGGGGCCAGCTGATCGTTGTTAAACGCCGATTCTCATTGAGGAGAGCAGATTTCGATTAATGCATTGTAACCCTTTGTGACATGAGGCTAATGTTCATGCTTGGAGTATATATATCACAAACTTGAAATCGTTTTTTTCGTTGATTGTCTCAGTAATAGCAGACTTATATAGTTCAATGATGTTGTAAGGGTTCGACTGTGAATCAGTTTTGTTTGTCAATGGTCTAGTCACTCTCTTAGTTCAAACTGCTCAATTTCAGTGCCTCTTTTGTGTTCATTCCAACATGATGAGTGCCGGTCTGATTTGGTCTTGACATGAAAACTGCAGATACTACCTTGATTGCGTTGCTAACCTTCATATGGTATGAGAAAGCTACATCCCAGAAGTGGCTAATGTGTGAGTGGGGAGTCTCCAGGGCTGGCGCGGCTTGTAGTCATGAAGTATGTCTTCTTGCAGGTACTGGATCCGGTACGGGGCATGACCCCTATCGTTGCCATACTTTCGGGCTTCGTGCTCCTAAGCCTGATGGCTGTTGCGGCCGCTGATACACATGGCTTTGAGCGGATTGTTCTCTCGTTTTGCACGGTTGCGGTCTTCTTGCGCGTCTGCGTCGTATTTTACCTCTGGCTTCCCGCTGATAAGGCGCTTCCAGAGGTTTGTCAGGGGCTGTATGGAATTGAATTCGTCGATTCCGACCGCAGCCCTCTGCACTACTTCCGCATCTGCCTCTCAGCTTCTGCGGGCCGGGCTACAGATAAACTGCCTGTGCTTTTGAGGGCTTGGTATGATGCACACAGGAACAATAAGAGTGACATTGTTCGCGAAGCGTTGGCTCTCGCTCCTGATATAATCAAAATGGAATTAGCAACGTGGATCCCGAGCAAATCCCTACTAGGCTTAGCCAAGGAAGCTGTTGCTAAGGGGTTTGGACCAGATAGGAAGCTGCGTTGGTCTAAGTTTGAGCTCAACCTGTTCCTTGTCTGGTACGCATCCCTCTTCGAGCTTGTGACGGTTGGGGATGAAGGCAAGCCATTCGGGAACGCAAGCAAGGGGGAAGAAGCCGTGTAGGCCAACCTTAGTATACCTGCTAGTAGAAAGTCATTGCATATGTTGGGGAAAAACCGCAAAACTACCAGATGACAGTGCCAGTTCAATCAGTGAACATGACTCATGCAATGAACGAACAACCCTCTTCGCCAAGAAGGGCCTTGATTCGATCAAGAGAATCCATTTAAAAGTTGTTCTTTATTAGAAACTGGCAGTATGTACGGGTCAACAGCTACCTACGAGTCTTTCGAATCGCTCATATATGGGTAGATTGTCCGAAAGAGAGCTAATCACTCGTGATCATTCCTGAAGTGCAGGGTTGCTCCATGAAGCTGTATTCTGTGTCTCGATCGATCCAGAAATAATCAAGTATATAATAACGCACGTGTACGCGTCTATAGCATTCTCAGGTAGTGACAGCTCACATGCCTGACGCGGACTTCAAGAGTCGATCGACAAGCATCGATTCTGTGCATCCCATTAAGGATAGGATATGAACGTAGTGACTATAATGCATACGGAATGGTGACATGGTATTAAGATTGGTTGATGTACCACGAGCGGGCCTACTACATGAATCATCAGGGCAGGATGTTGCAAGCTCGTCTTGAGCAACGGTATGAATTCGCCGACCTTGTGGCGTGATTACGTGTCCTTCATTTGCGGAAGCACCACGCATATGTTGGAGGCTCAAGCACACGCAGACGGACATAAGACCAAAGAGGCGACGTACTTACATGCGAACATCGATATAGGATCACTTCCTTCCGGAAAAGTAGCCCCTATGAGATCACAGTGTCAACCAATCCATGCAACTTTCTTGAGCTCGATGAATCTGCCTGTGAATCTGCCTTCGATGATCAGTCCCAGCCGCCATCCCAACACGCATCACCCTGAAAGACAAGCTTTTCAATACTCCTTTCCAAAGCAACGTCATCAAGCGCCACGTGCTCCTAGTCGGCCTTGCTCCAACGTCAGCAGCATCAGTTCCTCCTCGATAGCCGTCCGCAAGATGGGCACCAGCTTCCTTTGGTAGTCCAGCTCCTTCGCTAACCGGTGGTCCTCCACGGGATGCTCCACCACAGTGACCTGATTACACGAAACCGGGTTAGCTCCTAACCCGGCTTTCAGCGAGGCCCTCTAGGGGGCAAGTTTTTAGGAAGTTTTTGTACTCAGATGACCAGTAAGAGCCCACGAAACAACACCTGGCTTGTACAGAAAGTAAAGCTTGACCAGGAAGAACAGGTAATCAAGCGAGAGAGGGCCAGTAGACGACCAAAGCACCAGGTTTCACGTAGGTGTTGCTGATCCGTCTCTACTGAGATCCCGTGAGATTGCACGGCATTGACGCGTGGCCACATCGAGCGGATCGGCAAACACGGACTCTCTTCGTCCTAGTTCCTGCATACATGCCTGCGAAGTCTCTCAACAGCTACAACAGAAATGCAACACTAAAAGCTAGCGCACAGCAAGAAACGGGAGCCCGCGACAAGGAGAGCGTATTCACACCTTCCCAGCCGGGAGCAGCGCGGCCTGCTCCAGGTCGTGCAGCCAGCAGCCGCAGTGCACGGTGATGACGGCCGAGCTCCGGCTGACGTCATCCAGCACCTCGGCCCGGAACGAGCGGAACCACGCGGCGTCCTCCGCGCACCGGATGGACGCCGTCGAGAGGTCGACCTGTACGAAGAGCGGGGCCCAGCCTTCGGTTCGAGAAGGAAGAGTCTAAGTTTGCGACAGATTTTGCTTTCTACTTCTGAGCGCCGTGAAGGAAGAAGTAAGTTGAAGTTTGAGAAGGCAACCGAGACGTTCGTTTCGGAGCAATCCGGGAACAGCGTGAGAACATAGCACCGTCAGTCCTAATGCAGTGTGTCAAGGAACTACGTGCCAAGCTTCTCCTCAAAAGGCTGATAAAAACCGAATGAGCAGTCTTTGTCAGCACCGGCACCACCAAAAGTCGCACGTTGCTCACTCGAGGCTTACCTCAATCAAAAGCGAGGTTTCGTACATAATGCATACGGGGTCTGTAGGGAAGCCCCGAGAACTTCGCTGCCGCGCTTTCAGTACCAATCAAGAACAAGGAAATTCAGCTCCCAAAGATGGAGCGACTAGGACAGAAGCTCGCCTGCGGGCAGAAGGAGAGGACACGTGTCGCGAGCGAGCTGAACAGCAGGCTCGCCGACGCCCCCATGCTGTCCCCCAAAAGCAGCACGCGCTCGTATCCGCTTACAGCCGCCTCCAATTCGGCTCGGTAGTACCCGCTGAGCCGCTGTCCGGTTCGCTTCCGTTCGCTTCCGTTGGTTAAACCAGATCCGCCCAGCTCAGCCCCGTTTCCGGCCGATCCGTTGTGTTCACCCGAGCTCTGCGGAGTAGGACCGGCGGAAAATACCTGCTCCCGACCGCTCTCCCGAGACGCTCCGCTTGGTTGCCCTTCCGTTCCGTCCGCAGCCAAAGGATCTCTACTGGAAACGCGCGCAATCCCCAAATCGCGTGCGTCTAGCAGCGTGCTTCGGCTGGCCACTTTGCTGCGCACCTTTTCCGACCGCCCGTCCCGTTCCGACACGTGTCCGCTCGTCCCGATCCGGAAGTCCCCTTCCAACTGCAAATCGTCAGCGCCAGAAGCGTTGGCGCCTTCCCCCTCGCTCTCCTCTTCGGGGGGGCAGTTGCACCCGTTGAACTTGGCCCCCGTTTCGGACGCCGCCAAATTGGTGGCCCCCCCAGGGCTCCCGACTTGGGTGTACCAGGACCGGCGTGCATCGACCACGTACAATACGTCGAAAGTCGTCGACTCTAAACTTGGGCCCACAGCTTTCGACGAGCTTTTTTTTTTCGTGGCATCTGGTTTGAGGGCTGCCTTGACGCGCTTCAACACGCCGGCCCAGTTGGGGACGCCCGGAGCACTTCCGAAGGCGACCACTACCAGGCCTCCTCGAGGGTTCTGGTCGCCCAAATTTCCCCTCGGCAACGCCGCTCCCGCCTCACTCCCATCCCCAGAGGAAGCCGAACTCCCGGTTGACGTAGAGGGATCCCTCTCAGGATCTGAAGAGCTTCCTACTTTCTCTTGTCCGTCTCTTCCTTCCAACACAATTTTGCCCGAGGCTCCACTAAACGGGGCCCCGCTTTCGGACGGTTGTACGGACGCTCCCGTTTGTTCCGACGCTACACGAGACTGGGCGCCGGACATCATGCTCATGTAACTAAAAATGAGCGCGTCCCCTCTCTCCTCCCCCACCTGGCCCCCTGATTTAGACGGCCCCGTTCCGTTCTCCTGCCCATTTCCCTGTCCGTCCCTCTCCGTTGCTCCTTCACCCACCTTTTCAGGGTCTGTCTCGGAGTTCGACCCCACCCCCCCGAGCGCGAACGGCACACCATGATCTAGCTTAAAGTAACCCTCCCGCTTTCCAATATCCCCGCCGTTTCCCGCAAGCGTACTCACTTTTACGCACTCGCTTACCGCAGCCGACTCCCAAATCTCCGCCTTCAGGCCCCGTGCCTGCTGCGTGTCGATTCCCACCACTACCTTCCGCGCCCATTTCCCCGTCAGTGGTAGCCGCAACAGGGCCTCTCCCAACGCGTCGCTTTCCAGGGGGTTCCCTTCGAGCCACAGGTGCGCGAGCTTCGGCATCTCGACCAGGGTTAGTGGGAGGGTTTGCAGGCGGTTTCCGTAGACCCACAGGTCTTTTAAGCTGGGGAGGGAAGCGAGGGCGTCTGGGAGTGAGGTCAGGTCGTTGTCTGCGACGCTAAGCTGTTTGAGGGCTTTCAGCGCGGCCCAGTCGGAAGGGCTCCCCGAAAGCTGGGTCAACGCGTTTCCCTGCAGAGAGAGGGTGGCGATGCTTACAAGCTGGCTTTCCAAAAAGGAAAAGATTGCGTTAACGATCTGTCCTCTCGGTTGCAGAAATCACCACAGCAAGAATGGCATTGATGGCGTTTATACATCGAAAGAGGGGAGTGCCAACAACAACCGGCATTCTGAAGATACTAGACTCTTCGAAGTAGCATTGTATGTTACCAGGCCGCAAAGCCGTACACCAAAAGTGATATGTCGGACAGCACTCCTACGAATCCCAACCTGAAACAATTCCCTACCTGAAAACGAATCCCCCGACTCTGAAACCCAGTACGAACGCGATTCTCACAACAAGACTGCAAAAGTGTCAAATCCCAATAGTTCTTGACTCTGGTCTCAATCTTCCGTTCGATACCCGATTGTACATCGAGTTTGTCGAGCATGGTTTTCAAACAGCAAATTTCGCTGCGGCCACATATCCTATTGTCGGCGCTTCAGAAAAGAGGGCCCGGCCGCACCTTAAGCAGCGCAGAGCTAAAACGCTGACCCCTCAAAGTCGAACTTACCTGTAGCCATAGCTCCGTCAAGCCGGGCAGTCTCCCAAGCACTCCCTCTGGCACCTCGCGCAAACAGTTTCCAAAGAGCCCGAGGGCTTTGAGCTCAGGGAGGGGCCGCCCGCATGCCAGGGCGTCAAGGGACGTGAGACGGTTGCCGGGAACGGAAAGGCTTTGAAGGCTGGTTAGGCAGCCAATCTCCTCGGGGAGAGTCGTGAGACGGTTGCCTCCAAGGGCGAGAATGCCCAAGTATTTGAGCTTGCCAATCTGTAGGAAAGTGAAGGGGAACGTAAATCGAGGAAAAGGTAAGAAAGAATCGCTATGTCCATCAGCAGACTTTTCCTTGCTTGGGGGTTCATCAACGTGAAACAAAGGTACGCACCTGTGCGGCACAGATCCTGCACCAACCTGTCTCTGACGCCTGTACCATTTGACTTGAAGCTTTGCAGGTCAAAGTATACATGGTCCATCAGCACACACTTTTGGGCTCAAATGCAATGGCAATATGGAACACGACCCCCAGAGAAAGACGGATTGCTGATTCGGGACACATTACAATGAAGACTCAAACGCACATACTGCGCACAACGAAGCTCGAAGACCTGCCTGTGGGGGAAGGCTCTCGAGCAGATTCCCATGCACCCACAACCCCTTGAGGTACTTCAGTGCACCAATCTCTGCTGGCAGCCCTCGGAGATTGTTCCCGGCAAGGCCCAGCTTTGCGAGATTGGTGAGGCGCCCAATGTCAGGGTCGAGCTCGGCCAGACAGTTCCCGGCAAGGCTGCAAAGGGTAGCACGAATTATAGTTGTTTGGGAGTGGGCTGCGCAGGAGAGATCCTTATATGAATACATGGGTATGGGATACAATGAAGTATCAGTCTGTGTCTTGTCATGAGGTCGAGTTAAGCTTCCAAAGGTTATTGGCTCAGTGTCTCCCCTGACTTTGGCCTCAGAGAATAGAATCGACGCTTTTCCAACCAGTCTAGGCGGGTAAGAATGGTCATTTGATGAATCGCATGGACTTGGGCGGAAAGCTTTCAAAGAAAGCCCACACCTCTGCCACCAGTTCTTAGGCGCCCGGAACCCAAACTGAGAAGGGACGTCAACCTCCCGCATACAACCATATTCAAAATACTTTCACGCTCAGACAGCTAAGACAATGTACTTTGCATCATTCTCCAGGCACACATCAGTTAGCCCCATAGAGCAATAGTAATGTGGGGCCACCGCCAAGACGAAACATTGCAATTGCGCCAATCTCCTCCTCGCACAAACCTGAACCCCAGGAAGTAAGCAACTGAATGTAGCTGCACGTTTTTTCCAATATTCCGCCACCATCTCCTTACCTCAACTCGGTCAACCCCGTCAGATCAAACACATCAGATGGCAGCTCCGTCAACCGCAAACCACTCAAATCCAGCTTGCCGGAGCTCTCCGCTTCACCAACTCTCCTCCGCACCTCCGTCAACGTCTCTTCAGAGCTGCTCTCACTCTCCTGAAGTGAAGCGACCTCCGCATCGAGATTCTCGATCAGGCTCCCGGCCTTGATACATGTCTCCTTCCAACCAGAGGCGCTGTGCTTTCCTGCGTGCGGAACTCTCCGCCCAACCAATAATGGTGTTCTGGCCGAACATGTTTCCCTTCGTGAGTGCGAGTAGAAAGAGACGCTTTCAATATGCTTTTTGTGGCCGGAGCGATGCAGTGCACTTTGCGCAAATGCTGTCCACTGTGGAATGGACATTACCTGCTGGGGGCCCTCCTGATACTTTCTGCATTGGCGGTGAGAAAGTGAACGACAATGTGGTCGCCTGCCCACGCTGCTTGCAAGCTGTGAAGCCATCAGTGCACATAAGCCCAAAAGAAGGCTGCGCTTGCTTCAATTGCTATGAGCTTCTCCGACGCTTGCCATCATCAGACAGCAGCAGCCAGACCAGAAGACTCTCGTGCATTCACCTGTTTGCCTCTACATGAGCAACGCGCCCTCATACAACAATGCAGGTTCTGAAGAGCCTCATGAGGTCACATGAGAGCCTCAAAGCCTAGGGGTGTAGCTGCTTTAGGGTTTTTAGTCAAGAGTCGAGGCTCAAAGTTCAAACCCTCATACCAGAGGCCGTTCGACTGCGCCCGGGCCACAGACCCCAAGGACGTCTTCATGCATAAGTTGAGCATATCCTTTTGACATGCCCGTCTATTGATGTGCAAGGACACAACAGAATGCAGCTCCAAAAGTTCGATTCACCAAATCCAATATCTCTAGCAAGTATCTGCATGACGTGCCCAGAACATGCTTTTCTGGGCGTTTATGAGCTGGAACGTTTTTGTGCATTGGCGTCCGGGGACGGCCAATTCATAGCGTATGGTCAGAGTTCCCGGAAGGGCGAAAGAAGAGTCTGAAGCTGATCAGTATTTTCCCTCCAATGAAGCAACTTCCAACAATTCAGAGAAACTCGGAGCGAGCCTGGTAAAACGTATTCCCTGGAACGTCATCGATTCACACTGCCGTGTTTACGACGCGAGAGCTAGGAAAAGGATGTGGCTCTTTACAATTTGCCTACGATTTTACGATAAGTCTCTGCAATGCCACGCATGACGAAAGTAGAATAGGCAGCCGGGAAAAAAGGGGAGGTGAAAGCAGAAGCGGAGCTTTCGAATGAGGCGCCCCGATCCCATGAGCTCTGAGCTAATGGTGCTTCGAGAGGATACGATCGTACCCAATAATTCATTTGGCGAAGCATCAGCTGTCTCAACTGCTCGCTGACTTGTTAAGGAAGAAAGTCTGGTTAATACTTGAGCTTCAAATCTTCGAGATACTGGTATTGTACTATCCTCAATTCAGCGAACTTGCCAGTCCTGATCGAAATGAGGCCGCAGTAGAAGTGACGGGTAGATATTGAATTCCGAATAGACGCTTCAGTGCTCACGGTAGACAGGCGCCCGGCAGGGTCTTAGGGTGCTCATATAGCTGCCTGGTAAAGCGTGCGACTAGCAACGCTTTGATCCCTGGAACCACCAACTTGATGCTCACGGAATTACTGATTCACGGTGGTTCGTTGCGTTGAGATCCAATCAAAACCGTCAAGCCGTCTACTTCCAAGACCATCCGTTTGTGTTCGCCAATGTGATCAGGCTGACTAGTAGTTGTACAATTCGTTTGAGGAGAGAGTGCACGGGCCGGGGACGTGATTCTGGTTCACCCCTGTTGGGCGGTTCTAGGCGCTCATGAAGTTTTGAAGCGACTCGAGTAGTGCAGTCTTTCTGTATGGGCCTCACGTAATGCATGATGGCAGCAAGGGTGCGGGCGCTGACGTACGCACATACGCTGTGACGTCGAGTGGTATTCTTTAGGGCTTAACATCCTAGCTGTAAGTTACACGTCGTGCCTACTGCATATTGCGCAACACCTCGTTCGGGAGCTGGTTCAATGCCATTGGTAGGCAGAATATACACCTGGAACAAAAGGTACTTCATCGTGATATATTAGTCAGTTGTTGTGGTTCAGCATCGGTGATCCATTGTTCGAGAGACTCGTGACTTACGTGCAACTAGTGCGGCTTGCATTTTCTTATCCTAGAGGCGTCTGAACCTGATCAAACAAGTCTTTGACGGGGCCAGAACCGCAACCCTTGATGACGACCGGCAGATAGTACGGCAGAGTCTTCCCGCTCGCGAACGTAACTCCGCTCAGTCCAGCCTTGACTCGTACATCGAGGAGCCCATGAACGCCCAGTTTGGTACTCCAGGAGCCGACCGCCCAGCATAGCCCGCGTAGGCGGACTGCGGCCGAGTCCTGCAGAAAACCGACACTTAGAAGATTCATTGTGAGCAAACGCGAGAAGGAAAGAGCCTTCAACCAAGCGCTGATGTTCTATTCTCCTTCTCCTGTCTGCCACGGAACTGCGGCTGCGCGTCTTGAGACCAGCATCATGATATAAGCAAGGAAAACCTAAAATCACCCGTCTACTGATGTCCCCACGCATTGAACACATCCTCGGGTTCTTTGGAAGCAAGTTCGATTCAGAACTCGAGCTACGACTCGACCATGCTTTCCCCCATCTGCAGAAGTTCGAACCGCCTAATCAAATGTGGGAACTTTCCGAGTTCGAAACAACAAGTTGGTCACGATCGCTCACATTCGACGAGCGATACGCGCCCACTTGAATCGCATGTTGAGAGGATCCTTGAAAAGCAACCCCGAAATTCAATTCTTACCGTCCTCCGACTTGCCCCGGTTTCTTGGCCCCGGCCCGCAGCTCCGAGACTCCTGCAGTTGGCTGGATGTCCGGGTTTTGCCTCCGAGCGAACGGCGACGGCTGGTAGACTGCCAGGTCGACGGAAAGGCCCACCGCCTGAGAGCTGGTCAACGGAGCTCCCTCCTGTAAAACAGAGCCCGAGAGAAAAGGGTTTAGATTGAAGGCGCCGACGTCCGTGTTCCTATCCGACACGCGCGAAGAAGTGAATTGGCTCAAAATGGGCACAGAAGAATCTTAAAAGGTTACCTCTCGAGGCGATAAGTTCGGCATCCGGAAACATGTCCTGAGGTCAGAGAGACAGAGTTCGTCACGTTGCGGACCCGCAACGTCAGCAAATCGGCTCACCTCCAGCGTTGGCCCCCTCTCCGGCCGCACGTGGCTGCACAGCACCGTTTCCCGCCGACACCGCACGCAGTACCGTGACGTCACGCGCGGCCTCGCCGCCTCCGCTTGCTGACGTTGCACGTTCTCCTTCTCTTCGCGGGGGTCCCTCCTCCCCCTGTCTTTCTCACCCCCAGCCTGGTTGTCCTCTCTGCTCTCCCCTGGACCCCCCCAAGCTTCTTTCCGCCCTTCCGGCCTCCGTTCCGCCGGATCGTTCCGCTGCCGGTTCTCAGCGGCGCTTCTATTATCGAGAGGTCTGTGCGGCGCGGCCGCGCGGGCGGCGGCCGCGCGTTGCGGCGAGGCAGGGTCGTCTTCATCCAGCAAGATGCACGGCTGACGCGCGTCCACGTGGGCGGGTTTGGCAGGCGCGGATTTAGAAGCCGCCGGCGGAATCTGCGGTTATGAATGCAACCTCAATGATTGCAATCTTTATCTCGGTGTTCCCAGTTTAGGAACGATGACGTTTGACGAACAACTCCGCTCGTCTTTCTATGAAGCAAACGACCGGCATAAGTCCAAAAGGGCTGTCGCTGTTTCGGTCTCTGGACTTCTGCTTTTGGATCGAGAACTTTTTCCTTTACATAGACGAGTCATGAGAAGCTCGCCGTGCCTGAAAGCACTTGCCGTGACTGATCTGGCACGAAAGTTCCAAGGAAACGACAAACAACCTTTCTCCAAGTGACTTACAGAAACCGGCAGGCTTAACGGTGTTGAACTGCTACGGGTCAATATCTACGTACGACGAAAGCAACCAGCCACGACGTCGTAATTAGCTCACGTGGACTGTAGGCGCGGCGGGCGGCCGCGTCTCCGAAGACGCGGGCGCGGGCGCGACCGTGAGTCCGGCCGTGCTGGCAGGACGGGATGCAGGGAGGAGGCCGAGTTCCTTCATCTGCAAGAGGATTTAATAAGGGCGTCATTTAGAAAGGAGTCCCGTAACGTAAAGGTAGAGATCCTCACGCTCGTTCCGCAGCGTTGTTCTGAAGAGCGCCCACACGTTGACACTTTGGTTCTGAGGCGGGTTTTATTTTGGCTTTTTCGATCGAGGACAAAAGATCCCGCGCTTCTCACCCTCGTTAAGAAAGTCACAAAACTCTTGGTCTCACCTTTCTCTCAACTGCAAGGTCTTTCCCATTCGCAACGAACTATATTCTGGTATCGATCCCAGAAAATGGTTCCGTTTATTCACGGCCCGTACCTTGGCCTTGATAGGCGGCATTGCCAGGATCTCGTCGGTGTCGGGGCGCTCCCCCGGGGTAAGCCGCAGCAGCTTGCGGATCATGTCGGAGAGGAGGCCGCTGTAGTCTGCGCGGCTGATCGGAGCGTACTTGCCTGCACAAATGGGTGATATCCTTTAGGTTCCCTGACTTGATTTGTGGCATACCTACATGACCATTGGGATGGTAAACTCGTTTCCCAATCAAACAGCGGGGTAAAAAGTTTTGTTATCGAATCACTTCCTGTTTGACGGCCACAGGTTTAGGAGGTCTTCTGGAGCCATTTGTTTCTCAAAATGCTGAGTCGCCTTCGACTTCTATTGTATTCGCGGTCAGATGCCTCATGTTACAGATTGCCGGAGAAAACGAGTCTTCTTCTCAATCTGCTAAAGCAACGCGCAAGCAACCCAAGAAGCTTGTCTCAAGGCCCCTCAACACTCGGGTCACAAGTTGCCCTCCAATTACTCCACCCACAATGAATCTTTTCTGCGCAACCCGCGAGGGTTCATTGAAAGAACTTCTTGTTTAAAGGTATTTCAGCTTCCCTCGTGGTCGTCTGTCAATGTCAAAAGTGCTTCAATTGCTAACCGACGAACGCTCGCACCTGCCAGGATCTTTGCGGCGAGGCCCTTGTCGGTTGCGGAGGTGAAGGGCAGCCGTCGGGTGCACAGCTCGTACAGGATCACGCCCATCGCCCAGACGTCGCTCCTCACTGCCAGTTAGAGAAGACCCAAATATCGTCAAGACTGTCAAGTTGTAAGGGGAACTATCAATGAGTGTGAGGTTGGCGCAATCCTTCCCTAGCGAGAAGCACAGTCTCGAGCGCGGCCTCCGGCGAGAAGCAAAATTCTGTTCGCGGTTCTGACGTTGAAGTATCACGGAAAGGATCAAATGGCGCGTCGAAGAGATGTTTTGAAAGGTTGATTTTGTCTTTCAGCATAGAGCGATGAGTCGCAATTCTGCCCATGGCCGCTCGCCAAGCTTCCAAAGATCAACTCGTGGGCTTTTCACATCCAGCCAGGATCCACATTGCATGCCGGTTCTCGAGCATTTACATGAAGGAATTTAAGTTTTGGACGGGGCTTACTGACTGACGAGCGCGCAACAGGCATGACAGTGTCCCCTTTGCTTCCTCTTTTCTCTGAAAAATTGGAAACATTCAGCGGTACGTACCGCTGTATGGCTTGTTTTGCAGCAGCTCCGGTGCCAGGTACGCGGGCGTCCCTGCCAGCTGTCCTGGACGGGCGGCTCCCCGCTGCGTGCGCTTGGCCACGCCCAGGTCGCCTACCTTGATGACGTCATTCGCGTCCAAGAAAATGTTGAGGCTCTTAATGTCGCCTGCAGGAGGCGATGAGGGGGTTGGCAGTTCACCAAATCTTGGCGTTTTTTTGCGGCACTTGAGGACAGGACTGCTACGACATCTTGCTTGCCGCGGGCCATTTCTGCCTGTCGTGACAAGAAAGTCAGTCAAGTCATCCATTTTTCTTTGAGGCCAATGAAACGACAGGCGTTTGCTCAACATTCAATTGCGATTTTGTGGATATCACGGAAACGCAGGGCGACACTTCTGGAGGCACGCAGCATTGGCGGAGATCAGGGATTTAAACAGAGGGGTTGAGAAGACTCACGGTGGATGATGTGGTTCTGGTGGATGTCTGAGAGCAATTGCGATGCCACGTCAAGGAGTCACCGGTGCCACGTAGACAGACGCGCTTGCTTTCCAGCAGGAGATAACCAAAGAGACGGGAGACTGCGAACCATTCCTTACAGTCCGTTGGTCTTCTCCAGAGTGAATGTCAAACACGAGCGTAGTGACAAGATAACCTGCAAATTTCCAGTCTTCCAACCCAACCACTCAGGTCAGAACTTCTACCCTTTTCAGGTTACTTGATTCGCGTGAGCGATGTTCTACGCGGCAAGGAGAACCAATCAGGCCAGAGCCGCAAGCATCTTTAAAAGGTCTGATTCGCGTTGACAACATTCCACGTGGTAAGGATACGGTTGAGGCCAAGCACGGTCTGCAGGAAGAAGCTCCACACGAGGGGCTCCGGCAGCAGGCGGCCACGAAAGCTCTGGATGCGGTCGTGGAGGTTGCCCTTGGCGGCATATGCCATCACGATGTACAAACAGCCCTGCTCTGCACACACCAGTGTAGAAGGCCTTGAGAATCGATTTCGGGCGGTCTATATGTTGGCCTATGCAACCAATGGTGTGAGCACAGACGTCATTCACAGTCAGCACTGACAACAAAATTGGGGACTTGTTAGCTAGATGTCAAATAATCTGGTGGGATAAACCAAACGTGACGAGACTTACCTCGGAAGCAGTCGTAATACTTGACGACGTACTTGGAGTCGAGCTGAGACAGGACTCGGGCCTGGAGTGGCATCGGAGTGGGAAAATTAGGACAGCCAATTGAAACCAACGAGCACTACTGCCTTGGGGGGCAATCATGATGACAGCCACTCGTTTTGGTGTTTGTTCTTTCATGTATTTCGAGCACCGCATTCAAAAAAACTTTCAAGAGCCTTCTTTGCCAAAGTTGTGTTATGTCGTTTCATGTGCCCCGTTGCAACATTGTCGTTTGCGCAGCTCTGACGTCCCTCCCCAAGATGCTTCTACCTGAATCACAACGAGTTGTTTCCAGAATCACCGAAGCGTGTGCAAGCATGGACTAAATAGGGGAGTGAAAAGGTGTTTTGCCCCGTTTGTCTTGATTGAACAGGAGCGCTATTCGAAAGTTGGGAGGGCAAGCAAAGAGCCTGGAAACGGTCCACACCTCATCGACCACCTCCTCCTTCTCTTCCCGAGTCAGCTCATCCATTGGGATCTTCTTGAGGGCGTAAGTGCGGCGGTCAGCTGCGAACAGAGGTGGTCCGCCTCAGAAATGACATAAATGGAGATGGAAAAGTTTGGGAATGTCTGAGATAGAAACAGCTAACAGAATGCTGCTTGTCGATGATTAAAATGCAGCGAGGTTCTTCACTTCTTTCCTCTCTTGTTTCCGGTGCAACCCGCTTGAAAGTCCTTGTAATGCAGACCCAGTGTTTGGGGCCGGTAAGCCGTCCATACGTGCTTGAACTTTTAAGAGATACTTCATCAGGGTTGCAAAGCGGTCTGAACACATCTCACTACCGCCCACGTACTGTGCAATGCACCGGGCTTTTGGTGCAACATTGGGTGCTTACTAGTGTTTACCACTTAGTGACAGGCCTTCCGCATCATCAAGAGCTATCATGTCTCTACTTCATCGGCTGTTGAACTGTGCCCAGAATGCAGTATGTACGAGCTCACCTTTCCTCATTGCTTTGAAGACCACCCCATAGCTGCCCTTGCTCAGCTCTTCAATCACCACAAAGTCGTTCAACGTTGCCCGCGCCATAGTGGGCCCGATTCTTCTGTGGCGCAGCTCTTCTCCCAGCACTTTTCAGGCAGACTACTTTTACTTTCTCCAGTGGTTTAACAAAGTACTTTTCTCACAAGTTCAGGCCTACAAATCCACTGCCTCATTCTGAACACAGCACTTAGCAGCTGACGTTCACCCTCTTGCAAGCTTTAGAGCAATTGGACCCTTTTCGGTGGGGACCAACGATCGGAAGTGATCACAAGTGGCCCCCCGACTCCCCTTTGGACACCTGCCCCTGTCCTCATCCGCCAGCCCTGGAGCTAGCTAATGACTTGCATGAGCCGTCATATGTGTGCAGTCCATGTTAGGTACGTAATGGAGGCATGCAATATCCGATTGAGCTCATTCTGCTTGATTAGCTTCATCCTTCTTTTCGTCCTCCCCGTTTCAAAGAGGGGGTAAAATCGGAAACCAGGAACGACTGCATGAGCAGCCCACAGCTGGTCAAAGAGTGCAAGCTGTCTAATTAATGTAGGTAGTACGACTTGGTAAGTAAAGCCAACATAGGTACATCCTACCCTATCCTACATAAGTAGGGAGGCACAAAGTACTCTGTGCGCACCTTCTGCAAAACTTAGCACAGAGCTGCTCTCAGGTATGGAACTGGCCGGGCGCAGCGCTGCATGAAACTTTGCAGAGCTACACAGTCACTGCATCGTTACGTTACCTATGTGACTTCAGCATGAAAGAAGGGTTACCGGGCAATTGTACTGGGATTTTACTGCAAAACCCGCTTGACTTGCCTGAAACTGCGTCGGCGCGCAGAACCCTTTCAAAGTCTCAGTCCCGGAGTGACTGACGTGGCGAGACGCGGTGCGGCCGCGGTGCTAGAGTGTTTTCGCCCGCTTTGAACAATTTATGATCAGATAATACAGGAGGCTTAAATTGGCTAGTACTATTGGGATTGGCTGCCGCAGCAATGGACAGGTTCCATCCCTATCCAGCCTTGGAGCAACACCAAGACATCCAGCGAAGCAAGGTGTCTCGACCTAAACCCTACAAAGTGACAGGCAGGTACGACCGTCCAGCCTCTTGGCATGGCGTGAGGCTTCTTGAGTACCATTCAAATTTCAATCGTGTGACGCTCTTATTTGACCTCAATTGGAACACATATCACAACCGCTTGACCGTAGACGCGATTGAGGACTTGCCAATAAGCTATGATGTTGAGTCTGGAAGGGTGCTCGGTATTGCCATGGCGGACACAGATGAATATCTGCCCTATGAAAGCAATGTTGTTGAGAGCAGGAAAAGTCGTTTCCCCTTCCAATTTGAGCAGGCGTATCTGGAGGAGGATAATTTGTTGATCATCCACTTCTCCAAGGGCAACTATCCGGGTAGGCTTGTCCGAGAATGCACGACAAACGAGAAGATCTCTTTCTGGAAGGATGAGAGGGGTCTTCTTCGACGTATAACGATCAAAAATGCTTCTACAACTGTTGCAAGCCCTGCTCCTCCATGTGGGATTTCAAAGCTGTAAAGACTGGAGCTAAGTTTATGGTTGTAGTGGGTTGATACTGGTGACCTGTTCTACTTTGAAGCTCGTTTAGAACATCTGTATTGACAAATATGAGCCGCTCGTGTCAACATGCTTGGGTTCCGCAATGCAGTTCAATTATTCACTGCAAGGTTCAGATTGAAGAGGGGCTTTGCAATCAATCCTTCTCTAGTAGACAATACAGCACCCGGACTTTGCCTATGCAATTGGTCTCGCCTTCAATACTGCTTGGATCGAGTGTGGGCCCCAGCCAGCCCCTCTCCACGCCCATGCTAATCTGCCTTATCTATAGCAAAATACATGTGATGTGTATTGTCGGACCTTAATTTGTTCCTCCTCGATTGGAAAAATCCCCTTAGCTTTGAAGTACGGGGCAGGAGGTTTTTGACGACCGGCATGATGTGCATCATACGTATACCTTACAAGTAACGCGGTCCGCAATTCTATTTGGTCTCTACTCTTCTCTCCTAGGTCCGGAAGCAACAAAACGAGACCAAGACATGTCCAGCCTAGGTTCGGCTCTTTTTAAAGTGTAGAGAGGGCCCGCTTGAGGGCTAGGAACCTTATATAGTTGTTGCAGTCAGGGCTCAAGTGCGCTCGTCGCAGTAGCTTAACTTGGGGCCTTCGGTAAAGAAGATCAGCCGTCGAGGAAGAGATGGTGATGACGAAAGACACATTCATGAAAATGTATGCCATGGGAAGCCTATATGGCCATGGGGCTACAGCGTGTAAAAGAGAACATCATACTAAAACCTACAGTATAGTGCAATAGCCGCGCAGGCTAGCCTGCGCTTGGCGGCCCGCGTCGCGGGTCGGCCCACACAGGGCCGCGTCATGGTTCAATGCCAGATCAGGAGCGGGTCAAGGGGCAGTCAAACGGCCACTTGAACGGCCACAACAGACATGACTTGGAAAGGCGCCCACACAGCTGTCGCGCTTGAGCCTCAAACCTATTTGACTGAAAGCGCATGCCTTGAGTTTAATGAATCCTTGGTCACCCTCTACGATTAACTTCGCTCACTCTGGGTTAATCAAGACTCAGGACCTCGACTGAGTACCCTCCCGCAGGTTTCCCGCTCGCCGCCCGCCTGGAGGGCAGCTTGGCCTTATTTCGGATGTGGGCGGTGACCCCGCCCAGGGGGACGAGTTTGCGCGTGAGTGTGACTTGGGCGGCGACGACCCGGTGTAGACGGCCCACGACCTGCAGGGGGAGTAGAAGCAACGTTAGGCACTCCACACCTGAAGCAGACTTGTGCACCCTTTACTAAAGGCAGACTTGGGCACTTCACGTGAATCAGACTGCGCATATCACGTTGAAGCAGCCTTGGGCACTGCACGTTGAGAATCTACGATCGGGATTTCGCCTTGACAGCATGTCAGGTAGCTTCGCGCAGGCATTGCTTCGCACAAGCATGGCGATCCTGTGATCACAGTTTGTCGTTGTGTACCACGAAAGGAGGGGGGAAATCAGGCAGCCTCGGTTGATGTGTCATGTTTGCTTCCACTACGAACGCCATGCAGCATTACGTGAAGTTGAACGTGGACGAAGGGAAAGGAAATGGCGTTCCGCTTTCGTGGCTTACCTGGTGGCAGTCTGGCAAGAGCACGAGCCTTGTGAGGTGAACGTCCAAGAGGAGCGACAGCCATCGGACCACCTGCGCAAACGATGGGGCCCGAACCTAAGCGTCTGGGCTAGCTCAATACAGTAACGTTGCGTCCAATGAGCAGTCGCGGTGTTTACCAAGGAAAAGCAAGGTGACAGTAACATGGAACTTTGAAGGGGTAAGCGGCGGGTGCAGACTGGAAGGCTTGCTGACGGCTTTCAGGGGAAGCGAGCTTGACAGTGCAATAACAAGGGATGCTCGCGCAGCATAAGATGCAATGGGAAAGCACAAGTGGTGCACGTTCTTCTAAGCGGTTTTTGGGGAGCGCGCCATCTGACAATCTTACAGATTCGTCGGAGACGGCTCATAGCAAGTGAAAATGTTGCCGTTTCTTGGACTAGAGAACAGAAGAGTGCCACAATCGGTGTCCGTGCTTTCAGCGTGGACTCATAATGCTGGGGAACAAGATTCTAACAGCTACTTTCCGGTTTTGAAATACGAGAGCGAATGTTGTAAAACCCTCACCTGTGCTAGTGACGGCAGCACGATTCTGCCCCACTTGGGTGCCGACACCTCCGCCCGGTCGAAGTAGACGTCCATCCACTTGGTGAAGTAGCCCACTAAGAAACTGACCTGTAGGATTCAAGGACAAGCGTCGGCAAAGTGCAACTGTCGTTCGCCGAGACATCCCAAACCTAAGCATCCAGTGAGACTTTCTGATTCCGCTCCCTCTTGCCACCTGTGCGTCATTGTACGATTTAAAACGACGACTTCACCAACACGAATGTTCCCGCAACAACAGCGAATGCAGCCTGAGAGGTCTTTCCCTGACGTGTCCGCCTCTTGCAGAGTCCACTTCTGGACGTTCCAGAGTCCAGATGTCGTCCCTGCACCTTCTTTGATTTCCACGACGAAGTAGAAAGGAAGGAAACCCGTCCAACCCTCGCGTTGGCAATGCGCCCGGACAGGCGACTCTCAAACTTGCGAGGTTGTATGAAATCTTGCGACATTTGAGATAACAAAATCTAGTTCAATCAAAGAACACTGCCGCTGATTGAATGTGTCTGAAGAGGAACTCACTCAAGACAGAAAACCGTTCTCGATAAAACAGATGTTATAGCCGAGGCATCTGAAGATGGCACAATTGTTTGGAACAAAGTCAATCCGGCTTGATGCGAGTGCGAGAAAACCCTGCACTTGCAAGGGAAGCAACTTTGTTGCCTTGCATCACCACGCAGCTACAAAAGGTTGGTTCGACAGTTCCGCAAGAACCACAAGGACAACCAGAAAAAGGACAGAAAGCACCCAGATCAATCGATGAAACGGCAATTTACACACCTCTGCTGCGTTGAGCTCCCGCAGCGCCGCCGCGAGCACCGTCTCGTCCCGGGGAACTGCTACCAGCGCGTGCAATGCCGCCTCCCTCGGTGTGAATAAGTCCACCGCGTCTGCCACCAGCCGTACAGCTGTCACCTCCCTCCGCCGTGCTTTCGACACCTGTCCCTCCTTCACCGCCGCCGCAAGCTTCGTCACTTTCGCAAGCGCGCTCTTCTTCCGCTCAGCTGCCAGCTGTTGGAGCGTTTCTTGGTCGGCGTCACTGATTTGAAAGCGGAGGAGGAAAGCGAGGTCTGCGGGGGGAAGGTCCCGCAAGTAGGCAGTGACCGTTTCTAAAAGGCGCAACTGCTGGGCGCCGGCAAGAGTGCGCATTAGATATGGGCTCGCGGACCCGGCTGGCAAGCTGCCCGACCAGAGAACGGATTCTAACACCGACCAGGAACGGGTTTCGAGCGACCGCTCTACAACTGCCGTCACTACCTCAGAGGAGCATTGTCGCAGATGATGCGACAGTCGCTTTGGCGTTCCGTTAGCTTCCTTTCCAGGCCCTTTACTACCCTTTCCGTTCTTCTTGACCCCATTCTTCTGCGCAAAGCCGTTCTGGTGAGTGGACCCGTTCGGCTGGCCGTCCTCCAGGTCCGAATCGTCAGAATCGTTCCTCCCGTTCGCATGCACACCGTTCGGCAGTCCGTTTGCACCCCGCGGCTGTGCATCACCCCCTTCTCGCCCGCTCCCAAACCGTTCGCCCAGCAATGACGCCAATTCTTGTTCACTCGTCGCGTCCCGGATCCGTTTCAGAAGCTCGTCCTCTGCAGCAACCCCTCGCTCTACATCCCATACGCCACCCTCTTCCCGTCGGACCAAGCTCGACTCTTCCTCTACGACCCCCCTACCGCTAATGCTTGGAGTAACTACCGTTCTGCTTGCAGGGGCCTGCAAAGACTCCACCTCTGACTGGCCGTAAACAGACGAAGCCATCACCGCCGCGTCGTTTGCTAATGCCCCCCATCCAGAGCTGCTCTCAACCTCAGCGCCAGCTGGCGCCTCCACAGACCTGCCAGGTGGCACCCCAGTAGGGCCGCCACTTGGCACCCGTGCGAGCGCGCCCAGCATTCCAGCCAGAGAGAGCGGCGTCAGCGACACATCGCAGACTATCACTTTTTCTGACGTACTGACCAGCAGCGACCCCTCGTCCCCGCCATTCTGAAGCCCAACCAACGCCCCCAAACTGGAGGACCGAGCGTCAAGCAGTGTCGAGAGACTGTCCGTCTTTGCGTCCTCTTCCGCTCTGGCCGCTAGAGCGAACCTTTTGTGCAGACACCCGTACTGGGTGTCCAGAATCACAACCACTAGGCCCCCACGACCCCCCTCCGCTGGACCGACAGCTGCCACATACGAAGATCCCGGCATGGCAAGCAACCGCCCCGACGAGCTCGCTTCGACCAGACTGGAATCCGCATCCAGGTTGGCCCTTTTCTTCTTTGGCGTCTTCTTGCTCTTCGCCCGTGTCTCGCCCTGAAAGACGGCGAGCTTTCTAATGTGACCCGGCTTGTATGACCACCCCTGGCCTGCGCCGTTGCGATCCGCGCAAAAGGACTGCCACCGGCCATCGTCCCACAGCACGGACAGATCCAGGTTTTCCCCGAGTGACACCGATGCCACCGAACCCTCCCCAGAATGCGGCAACTCCAATTCCTGCCTCACTTTGAGTACGTCGACTTCCTCCCCCGACCCAGCCGGCACACTTGAGCTCAGCTCCACGACCTTCACAGCCCGTCTCGCAGCCCCCCGTTTGTATCCCGCAATTGCCACGAACAGTGCTCCCCCCTTCCTGCTCACCGCAACTGCCTCGACGGTCCCCCTCTCGACCCCCGGCAGCCAGCTCGTCTGCGCCAGGTCGGCACCGAAAGCAGCCACCGAGCCATCATGGAACACAACTACGGCGCCACTGGCAAGCTTCGTGTTCCTTTTTGGTTGCGATACGGGCCACAGGGAATGCACCGCCACCCCACCTAGTGCTCTTTTTACTGGCGCGTCGATCAGGCCTGAAGTTGACTGATTGGAGTCTGTTGATTTTTCCCAGGAAACGAGGTGCTGCCCCTCTGACAAGGTTTCCAGGGCCGTATAGTAGCGCGACGTGTGGGTGTCCCAGACTGCGGGAGTGGCGAACGTGGCGCCGCGCGAGCCGAGCGGCCAACTCCTGGTCCGGAGCTGCACAAGGATCTAACGTGTTTAGAATTGATTATGCAGATGTTTGCATTCCGCCAGGAAACACCTACTACTAGAGACAATCATAAAATCAACCCTTGCAAAGTTTGAAGTGGTCAAAAAGGTGCTCGGCATGCCACAATCTTGGGTTTGAATTCGTAGTTCAGATTTTAGACAGGCTGATGGTGAAAGATTTGCTGACATGTTAAACTTAAGCCAGAATGAACAGTGCACTTTGCAAACACCAAAGTAATCAAGAATCAAATGAGGTTGGGCCCAACAGCTTGAGGTTAAATGCCCCTGCTGCACACAGATGAAATAGAAGTATATCACCATTACCAATAACACCACCCCAAAACTTCGTGGCGCATGCTTGGCTGCTTTCGAACCAAGAAACCCAACATACGCAGGTGTTTGCCTGCAACTTGAGACCTCGGTGATTACGCAATCAGACTGGTCAGAATCCTACGCCCATGCATTGTGCATGTAAGGTTGATCCAAGCGAGGCACATTGTGAATATATATCCTGGGGCAACCACAAAATACTAGAAGGCAGAAAAAAGTCGCTACGGCTTACCTCAAAAACAACTACTGTGGTACTGATTGCTGAAACATATTCTTTGTAAGCTCTTTCAAGCAAGGCAATGCCAGAAATGCCACACGGGGAGCTGTAAACTCAAGATATCATTACCAAGACCATTACCAAGTCTCTGAGTGCGCGAGAAGGCAGAACACCTTGGTGCATATCAGGAGCGCAACTTCAAAAAACACAACAAACCCATAATAGAAGCCCACAATATTTCTTCACAGAATCCCTTGCGGAACTTTGACATACCTGCTTAGAAGAGTTATACGCCACCACCCCATCGCCTTGCACAGTCACAAGGATCTCGACAGCTGTGCTACCGCAGGCGCTACCCAGAATCCTTCCGCTTGTGCCAGCGGGGTTTGTCAAAGAATCATGATTGCTCTGAGACCGACAGAGGACGAAGCTATTGGCCTCCATCTCATCAAACCATGGGGAACTCGCAAAAACAGTGAGCACTGCGGGTGTTCACAAGGATGTTGACTTCTCGAAGGATTCTGGCAGTGGATAGCGCTTCCAATCAAGATTCAAATGCAGCCGGTGTGGGAAAGGATTTGAAGCTACATAGCACAGCCTACTGAGGCTACACAGCCAGCTGAACTTTTTGAAAGTTTTCGGCCTTGAAATTTCTTTTCCAAGTTGGATAATGGAGAGTGTGAACACCTTCCGCTCGTGCCGCCGGGCTGCCGTCGAGCTACCGTGATCATCGTCAGACCTGAGTAGTGTAAAGCCCAACAGCTAGGCAAGCAAAGCTTCACAGTCGGAATTCCCGAAACGACATTTTGAAGTTCGAGCAGCCGGGATCAGAGAAACGTTGGAACCACGTACGCATTCTCACTTTAACAGTGATACCGATGTCAGATGACATGTTGAGAGATGAGTCAAGTTCAGGTAGGACAGGCACAGAGGCAGGACGTCCCTTCACAAGCGTTGCGAGAGCTTGAAGTTGAAGAAGTCGCTTCTCGCTGTCGCTGCGAGCTGCCCGCTCGAGCGGGGGCTGGCAGACAGAGACGAGCGATTTGAACTATCCAGACCGGGGGACTTGAAGCTAGCATTGAGCTTCCAAAATGTTGGCGGACGCTGATGGAGGAGTCTAAATGGACCCAGATCAAAAATGAGGACTTTTCTGAGTAATCAACTTGATTAGAGTTACAGGATTCGGCACTGCCTTGAAAGTTGCTCTCCACAATCATGAAGTGCTTCAGTAATCTTGCAATTGTGCTTTTGATGGTCCTCACTTCCTGGACGCCTCAATATGTTGGCGCTCAGACTGGAGCTGACGCCGATGACTTGGTCTGGTTCATTCAGCTGTCTGATTTGCACATCAGCAAGCATAATCCAGAGAGGGCGGCCGACCTGAAAGCCAAGGTGGCCACGGCTCTCTCAATTGTGCAACCAAGTGTGGTGCTGATTACTGGGGATCTGACGGGTGAGCTTTGAGTTGACTGAATATCTGACAGCAAAGTTGCAAACATTGAAGCTACTGACAGTATTGAGTCCCATTATGGCTACCTCCATTTCTGGAGGTGTTGTGCAAAAGCCTCAGAGAACAACTTTATACAAGCTTCTTTTAGAAGAGCTCCACGTGCATTGCACATTTTGTTCTTATCAAGCTGCCAAAACTGGAAAATTAGCGCTCCTGAACAATGCTTTTTTGTTTGTGAAACCCAAGAATGAGGAAGGCGACATTGTAATCTGAGACCCAAACCACCAACGTGAGCTTCAAAACTTGTTGAGCAACATTTGGGAGATACTAAGGGAAAGAATGTTCTCCCCACAGCCTTCATGTTTGAAATGGCTAGCTGGCCTCATGCCAATTGCTTGAAAGCCACCTTCACCTTCTTGAACAAAAACATGAGCGTGCTGGAATGATGCTGTAAGGTTTGGTGCTGCTTAGATCCAATCAGATCCAATGCAAGTATTCAAAGCCAGGGAGTTTGGAGTAATTGCAAGGTTTGATTCTCGAACCTGACCCTTTTGCCTGATCTTCGATATCATTATTGTGTTTGAGTTCTGTCAACTTCAGCTGGTCGGCTTGCGACCTGCTGATATGATGCCTCAACCAAATTTGCCCTCATCTCAAAGTAACCACTCCTGCTGTGCAGAGTCAAGGTCCGCTGCTCGCTACCCGACTCGACAAGACGACTGGGAGTGGTACGAGTACAACACAGTGATTGCCGCCCTTTCAAAGGCTAGCGGGGTGCCTATTGAGTCCATTGTCGACATACGGGGCAACCATGACACTTTTGGTGTTGGATTGAGAGGAGGGCCCGGTGACTTCTATCCGACGTATGGGGCAATAGGGGGGAGAGCAAATCGCACGGCAGGGGCACTGCAAAGAGTGTTCACTGTCAGATTAGAGGTAAGGGGATATGCCTGTCTTTCACAGAGAACAGGGGTGTGCTCAATGTGGTTCTGCAAAGTTGTCCCAGATCTTAAGCCTCCTATTTCTCCAAGAAAACATGTTATTCGACTGAGAAAGGCATTCGTTCCTGGCAAGGCAATATGCGACGCTGTTGTTACATGAAAGTAAACATTGTGTGCATGTCTCCGCGGAAATTTGTTGCCTGAATGATTTTGACAAAGTTCTCTGAAAACCTTGCACTGACTACACCAGTCAAGTGCGGGCCTTCTCTGCCAAGTCCGTATTGCCTCCTTTCCTTTGTGGTTTGACGCGTTGGCTGGTCGTACCTCTTCTTGCTAAGGAGGATTACTGTACCTAAGTACAGTTTTGCTATGAGTATGACCTGAAGTCTATGCCGTGTTTGCAGGAAGGGGCTGATCCAAAGCACGTTCTGGTTGGCATTGATGCCGCGCAAGAAGTGGGGCTCCGGGGGCCCTGTAACTTCTTCGGCATGCCCTCTGACGCACTCCTCGACAGCCTGGACTCCACTCTCGAACACATAAACAGGGCCCCAACTGGTCGGCCTCCCACCATCATTGCTTTTGGCCATTTCACACTGTCGTTCATGGCCCGGACAGAATCCGGACGGCGCGTTGAGGACGTGCTGAAAAAGCACGGCGTGTCCGCGTACTTATGCGGACACTTGCACGCCCGTTTTGGCGGTTTGTTGCACAAATTTCACCCAGGAACGGACAGAGTAATGGAAACCAAACAACTAGAGTCGGATGATTGGATTGCCGGATTGGATATGGAAGAAGAGGAGCAGAGCACGGAAGGCCTCCGGAGAAGGCTGGCGCAGGACACCAGACGGCAGGTTTTGTCCGAGAAAGGCCTCAGGTCCAGCGGGTTTTGGGAGTGGGAAATGGGCGACTGGAAAGAGAGCCGGTTCATGCGGCTGGTCGCCATTCGACGTGGCCAAATCAGCTTCTCGGACGTCCAGTTTTCGAAACGGACGGCATCGGACGACGGCGGCCACGAGGCGACGGCCGAGTACCGGCGCAGCGTCGGGCTGGGGCGAGTGGTCGAGAACGAAGGCACGACGCATGACAGCCAGGTCTACGACGAAGACTCGGCGCTCATCCTAGTTCTCTCGCCGTTCAACGGGCACTATCGAGAAACAGTCGGCGTCTCAGCGATCGAGGCGCTCGTCTTTTCGCGCCACGAACCGCTCGACGTCTCGGCGCAGATCTGGGATCGAGGGAGCGGGTTCTCGAGCAAGGGCTCAATTGCAGAGGAGGTGAAACTAGAGCGGGATTTCGGACGGGAGCCGGCCGTTCTGTACGTCCGGACGTGGGACCCGGCGCCGTACGAAAAAGGCCGTCCGGGGCGGTACTGGATCCAGATCGTGGTGCGGGATTCCACCGGGCAGAAGCTGGCGTCGCGGCAGCAGCCGTTCGTGATTGGGGGGGCTCGAGAAAGCGGGGGTAAGGGGGGGGTCCCGCTGTTCAAGCAGAGCGTGGCGTCGTTTCTGCTGATCGGCGTGCGGTGGGACGAGCTATACATGCCGGCACTCGTGGGGATCTATGTGGTGCTGCTGGGATGCGTCCTATTGCTGCCGAGGTGAGGCTTCTCCGGCTTTGCAGTAACGCGATGCGAGGAAAATCAGAGACTTTCGATTCGTATTTACTACCGCCGCTTCTCTGGCAGCCACACGAACGTTGTCTTTTGTTCCCAAGATCGAGACCACCCAGATTGTTCCCTTTTGAATATTGGGAAATTCGATCCCATCTTCGTAGGTTATCCACAGAAGGGTAAGTCCTTTAATGGTGAACCATGGCAACGGCCTTCTCAAACCGAACTCTGGACTCATTGACTTGAAAAGCTGCTACCAAGGAGACTGCTTAGACTAGGAACCTAACGAAAATGTTGGCGGCGGCCTGCAAGTCGCTAGAAATCCTGTGTCGAAGCATGTGAAAGTGCGGTAAAAGAGGTGCTGGGGCTAATGCATGGAGTACTAGCGCTGCTTTCTCCAAGTGCGGAGGTTCTGGAACCGCCCACTCGAACGTCTTCTTCTCCGGAACAGCAGCACGCAAAACTACTCGTCTGGGGTTCTTTCCGTAGTAAGGAGAGATAAGGAAGTAAGAGGAGCTGTTGGAAGGTCACAATCCCACGTTCCAAAGTCTTCTTTCCGGTCCAGGTTTTGGGCGAGCTACTTGCACTCGGAGCACATGTTTGAGGAGTGGACGCTCCGCGTGGTGTCGCGACCCCTCCGGGTGGGCTGGAACCCACTCGTCTTCCTGTCGCGGCTGCTCGAGATCGGCTCCTGGGCGCTCTGCCAATCCGCCACTCGAACCGCCGTGTGGCTGCCGCAGGTGAGCGTCCGAGCGTTGATTTCAGCAGTTTCTCCGTTTACTGCAGACTCATCTTTTCAAAAATGCTGAGGGACAGAGGTACAGAACAACGTCAACGGAGCCTGCGAAAAGCGGTGGCGTGGTACTGGTTCCCAGAGATAGTGTCTGCTCGCTCCAGATCTATGTTCATTGTATCCATGTCCCTTCTTTTGCGATCACAGGTGCCAACAAAGAACGAACCAGATTGACTTCTCCACGTCCCAATCTCTCACATGCCCCGAAACGGGTTAGCCTCATTCCAACCGCTCAAACCACTTGAATCACACAACCGGCCCATGAAAGAGGCGCTGAGCGGACTTTCCACTGACATCCCCCCTCTCTTCCGCAGGTTGCGTTCCTCTCGTACCTGGCCCTCGGCCCCTGGTTCTGGGGCCAGGCCCTGGACGACTCGTCGGCGCCCCTCGCCAGCTTTTACCTCCGGCACTGGGAAATCCCCCTCGCCAAAAACGGGGCCTCAGTGGTCGCCCCCATGCCGTGCACGCTCATCCTCGCCGTTCCGTTCTTCCTCCTGATTCTGTTCCCGTGGATGCTCTGGATCGCGGCGTTTGGCGCGTACCGGGACGTGGCGAAGCGGCCAGCGCTCAAGGCGTCGCTCTCAATACCACCCCGGAAAGGTAGGCGCCGGGCGCCTGTTTGGATCTTTGCCCTTCTGTATTTTCTCAGTGTTTCTTCTGCTCTGTACTGGTTTATCTGATCTTGTGCCGTGTTTGCGAGAGCTACCAGGAACGTATTCTTCCTATGCGCACGAAACGCTCATTAAGTTGTCAGTCTCTTCTGCTGCTCGAACCTTGGAACTCGAAGAGTTCGCTTTTGGATCAGATGTTGGCGCTTGTTTGCCGGTCTTGCAATCTGACGTCACCCCCATAAGTAGTGTGGATCCTTCGCTGCACCTATTAGCTGTCTCCATGCTGCCTGCATTTCAGAGCGCCCGCTTAACCATATTTGAGGTCTAGTTCCGGCCCTTCTGATGAACCCTCTCTCTGCTGCCTATGCCAGACATTGAGCACCAGCTGGAGCCCCGCACCGGCGGCGAGACCAGCAAAATGACCCGTTCAGAATCCGCGTCGAATCTGGCTCGCGGCGCGGTAGCGCAACGCCGGAGGGCCCTGTCGAAGTCCAACCTGAAGGAGAAGGAAGAGGAGGAACAAGTCCTGGTGCAGAGCTCCGCCCTGCGAACAGGGCCTCGGGGGCTGGAAACGCTCGGGTGGGCGATCCGGTCCGCGGGCGTGCTGCTCGGACTGTGGACTTTGCTGGTGAGCTGGAGTGGACTTTGGTGTGTATGGGCTTCTTCTGTGGCGCTTGATTCGTTCCTCTCCTATTTTGTTCTGAGGTTCCACTCGATGCGTGCTTTCCAATTTCACCAAGCGAGTTTGCTCATTATTTGACTTGAATCGAGAACCTAGAAGGAACACTTTCAAAGTCTGTCGTGTCTACCAGTTTCACCATGCGAGCAGATATTTCGATAAAGTGTATGCCCTGCCAGGAGGAACGGTCGCAGTATTTTCAGGGTGCCGTACACTTATTTAGTCTGGTTTTTGCTTGGAAAGAGGAAAGATCAACATCCAGCGGTGCTCAAAGATTCATTGGATTCTCTGTGTTCAAGGGGGATTGCTGAGACTTTATGGTCGATGTAACGAAAAGGCCTGCGATATTACCCCGCTCTCAGCCCAGTTCTATAAGCGCTACTACTTTCGTTGCTTCTCCTTACTTGAGGCTTAGGAGCAGACCTCAGAATCCTGACTGCGGTCGATAAAGAGACGACTCGGAGATGTTGCCCGTAGATCACCTCTGGTCGTTATGGACTGGGCCCGTATTGTCTCACCAAGAATCTCATTGATACTGCTCGCGAAAGCGCGGCCAGGTATAGATGTACAACGAAAAGTTATCCGAAGGAGGCAACGGAAATACTACGGAAGCGAAAGATAATAGAAGGAACAAAAGGGAGACATTGAAGATAGGAGGGGACAGGATGAGAAGATGCGCTTGTGCTTTTCTGGTGCAGCACACAAGTTTCGCTGCAAGAGCGTATGGAACGACCGTGCTGACTTCGCCCTACGTCCTCGGGTTGGCTTGCCTCGTGCTGTCCGCCCTTCTCGTGCTGCGGTAGGCGGCGCTGTCAAATGTTCAGGTGAGCTGATCGCCCTTCCCTTTGAAAACTTACCACTCTAACCGTTTCTTCGAGACAGTTTGTCCTTTTCCCAAGAAACCCTCTTCAAGTTTCCCTTTTGTTGTCACTTCTTCAAGAAGGTTCATCCTATTCCGAAGCTTCTTTGGAATGAAAATTGAGGACCATACTCTGCACGAACAATGTGTTTGCATCAAAGCTGTTGCTGAAAACCCAGTAAGCGAGCAAAGTTGACCAGTTTCGACAGTCGGCCCGATCTTTAGGAGGGACTCTTCACTGAAAGACGCCCCTCTTCTTTGTCCTTTGTCTTGATGAAGTTTCAAGGGCGGTCAAGGCTTGAATCGTGCGCACAGAACAAGAAGATGTCAGTAAACACTTTCCTTGGAAAACTTTGCCTATTGCTGAGGGTTCCAAGTTGTTCGCCGTTGATTCTGCTTCGCATTCAAAGCCTCCTTGTCGCCTCTAAAGCAGCCAACGGGTAGCGGGTGAGGTTTGGCAAGTCTGAGAGCCAAGCGAGCATATTCGAGCGGAGCAAAAGGTCTTCTTGAGCCGCCTTCCCTACAAACGTCTATTGCTGATTTTGCTCTCTTGTGATTCTCCTCACAGAACGTACGGGATCAGGACTTTACGTGCTCACTTCTTGGGCTGATGCTCAAACTTGTCCAACAACTTCCAGCTCTTAAGTTGCTATCGGTTTCAATACCTCCAAGTTGATAGATGGGAGCCCCAGCGATTATCAAAGCCCGGGCCTTGTTGCGAATAGAGAGGTTGATCAGGTACAATTATCGTAGAGTTTTGGGAGGTGATTTGAGGCCCAAGCAGGCGAAGTCAAAGCAAAGCATTTGTCTCCATCTTGGCACGCCCAATACACTAGGGGGAAATCAGAAGGGTTTGAGCAGTAAGTAACGTTGATTTGTGTAGCGCAAGCACGTGTTAGCATTGACATTGCGCGGTCAGGACTGATGCTGGCCGCCGGGTCACTTATTAATCTGGAGCGAATGCATGTTGCAGCGCTAGTTTAGTAGTTGTTGCTTGATTGAAGGGTATTGCGCGATCGAGGTCAGTGTGGTTTCAACCCTGCCTGTGGTCCAGCCTTGCACGATCACGCTAAAGAGCCCAGGAAGAGTTAGGACGTCGGGACGTGCATCTGTTGCTTAATTTATCAAGACTTCGGTCATGTAGGACATCAGGTGGTGGTTCAACATAGATGATCAGCAAAGAACTGACATTGATGTGCATTGCGCCACGTGCACGCATGGACCATGCTTTGATAAATCGCTTTATATTTCTTTTACGTGGGGTGTAAGCTGAGAACCTGCACGGTCCCAGGATGATCCATGAGAATGTTCACGTGCACTCGACAGCAGGCCGCGCGCGCTAGCTCGAGCTATTATAATATATAAATCGTTACACAAGCTACCTATGGTGGGTACCGGCCGAGTCGATTCCGACTCCGGCCGCCACAAAATCGATTTAGCGCGTATCGAATATCGTCAGTGTTACCGGCGGTTCGCGTCACGGCTACTCAGGTTTATGTTACTCGGGCGGTACAAATACTCAGAAAAATTTTGCCGGGCCGTAAGTAAGTGTGAGGAGATTCTTAGACAGTGTCAGGTTTTACACTTTGAGAGGAGCATCAAATTGGCACGCAAAGAAGAGCCATATGCAGCTTATAAAAACCTCTGACAAGCAGAAAAAAATGTTGGGAGAGCGTCATGAAGGCTCCTTCGAAGCTCCAACATCTTGTTATGTTGAGGACAAATCGGAAGAAGCACCATCGTGGCTGCAAAGTTGGCCGCCATTGCTTGCTTCTAAAAAGCGCCATTCCCTACACTCCCGTTTCCATCTTCTGCACTCTCCTTTCAAGTTAGGTACCGCGGTACTCTAGGGTGGTTCGAGTCGGAACTTCCGATCGAAACCATGATTTTCAAATTTCACGTACGGTCAGACTTGATCGGTACCGTACCGCCGGAAACTCCGGAAATTTCTGACGACCGGATTGTCAGACAGATTCTAATTTATGAACTCGGACCGGATTCTCAAGTACCGGTCTGCACGGTCGTCAGTACCGCGTACAAATTGTCGCGACTCGACACACCGGTAATTCAAATTTGTGACCGGATCGTCGCGCGATCGAGACCGCCGATACCCACCATAGGTTGCTTGTGTAGTATAAACAGAGCTGACGCCGACGCGGCCATGTGCATGCGATTATAGTTGCATATATGATACGCCCGCGGGATGTATGGCGGGGCCCTCGGCCGGGCTTACCTAGCATCAGAAGTCGCTTCGAAGGTCGCATATTCGGGCTGTGCTATCGATTGGAGTCAATCAAGGCATGCGTACCAAGCATGTCCAGCGCCGCGGAGACAACTTTCCGTCAATGTTCACGGCAATCTGCTCGAGGTAGTATATCATGGACGGTATCATATGACGTCATACTTGCGCATCGTGCTTGCACAATGCGAACCGCATGTCACCCTTGTGGCAAAATTGCTTGCCTAAAAAAGCAGCGCGTGCGAAGGATCATGATCAGGGCGCGGCATGCAACAAGATTTTCGGAGCATGCCGCTAGGTGACCTCTGTTAGATTCAAGTCCGACTCTGATTCCGAATAAACGCCCGTATGTCGTCATGCCGCCCGTCACTGGCCACGAACCGCCGCTCAATCGGATTTTGCCACAAGAGCGCCCCAACCTGCCTTGCATAATCCACCACGGCCGCGAACCGTTCCTGACGTCAGCAAGAGAGGGCGCGTCGCCGTCAGAAACACGCCGGAATCTCGAAGGCTTTAGACCGTAGAAGATCAGACAAGCGGTGGCGGCAACCCGAAAGAACGGATTGGCTCGATCTCTGGAAGACATAAATCGCAAACACGAACACCTCTTCAACCGGAGAACGGGCAACACGATTCTAGTAACAAATTCGTTCCCCAAATCATCCGCTCGTGATTGCGTAGAGCTCCTCGGAGGACGCAAACAGTGCATCGGTAACCCAAAAGTAATGAAGTAATAGCGCGCCTAGCACAGCATTGACTTTTGAGACTTGTGGCCAAAAAGCATTACTCGAGCAGGCTACGACAAGAGTACCCAAGAATGAAAACGTAATGTACAAGCAAGGTTAATTTGGGACAACACGCAACTGCGACGAAACGTCAGTGCTCGAAAGAGGACCGACTTCAACAAAACGATACCCGAGAAAGAAAACGAAACTTAAACGACCAGAAAAAAAGCTCGTACAGACAAAAGCTCCAAGAGGAAAATGGACCCGAGACGGAAGCTCCAAAGAGGGGGAGTGGACAAGGCAAGGAGACCTCGTTAATTGCGAGGAAAATTACAAACAGCACTTTGAAAAGAAACTCATCTGCTGGAGACAAAGCCAAACGGAGATCCGGCAATTGTTTCACCTGCGAGGGGAACTCCTCGTAGAGCACCGCCCGGCTTTGCTGCACCCGGTTCCGGTCGCGCTCCCACAGCCGCACCTGGTCCGCCACCGTCTCGGGGACGACCGGCACGCGCTGCCGGATCTGGGGCGCCGCGTGCTGCTGAAGATACGCCACGATCTGCATGACAATAGTGGATTTATTTAGAGTGGGAGCGATCTGCATGAAAATTGTGGATTTTATGTAGAGTGGAGCAATCTGGGTTTGAAGTGTAGGGGTTCAAACATCTGGGGCACCGCGTGTTGCTGGAGATACATGCCAATCTGAATGCGAATTGCAGGGTTTTGGAAAGAGGGAACGATCTGGGTTTTGAAGTTTAACGGTTGAGATGAGCATACGCGCTGTCGGATTTGGGGCGCCGCCTGCTGCAGGAGATGCACGAACGCTTTGAATTGAGAGTTGTAGAGCCTGGAAGCAAATTAGGGGTCGAACGTAAGGGGTTATAATGTGCGTGTCTGCGCAACGCGGGAATTTGGCTGATGCGAAGGTACACAAAAATAATCTGTGCGAACTGCCGGATCTAAGGCTGCATCTGCAACATCCGGCGCGCAGACGTGTAACTTCTTGAAGCTCTTGCAACTCTGAGTGCCAGGAAGACTGGACTTCAACCGCCTGCCCTGGCTGACTTGCCCGGCGATGAATGACTTTATCTTACGTGCTACACTCCGCCACGTGTGTAGCACGGATAAGTGCCTTCAGTGGCGACTTCTCCTTAAAGAAGAGTCGGGCAAAAGGTTTGACTGCCAACAGGCTGATAACTAAACTTGAATCTTGGACAAACAACCGGACCATTCCAAGGCTGATTACCGCCCAAGTCTGATTCTTTGACATATAACTTTCTAACCACTTTCTAACCACTTTCGAACCATTCCATGACCAGCCCACAACCGTCCGTAGGCCAAAACCTCCTCGATCGAGGAGTCTCTGTCGGCAGCACTGGCGGCTCTGCGGTGCCACACGCATGGTCGGCCACAATCGGCATCGTTTTCGTGCTCACGCAAATGGTAGGGCTGCATTTCGAACGAGAGAGTGGTAATGGCGTTCCGCTCCTCACCTGATCGGCTGTGATTCCGTTGGAGAAGGCCGTGTTGACGCTCTCTCGCGTGATGGTCCCCACAACTAGGTTGGGCAACACGTACTCAATCCTGCATACGCGCTTCTCTTTCAGTTTCTTAGCAAACTCCGCTTCCTCAGCCAGTGCTGGAAATGCTCATGCTAAACGCCTTCCTTTTTTGTTGCTCAAACCTTGGTATCCTTTTACAACGATCGATGCGTCTAGTTTGCCCATGTGCGTTTGCGACAAAAAAACCAAGGGCCCGCAGACAGATTGAGATACGGTAGATAAAATAAGAGACCGCAGACATCAAAAGGGTTCAAACGACAAGGCTAGGGAGGACAAGGGTCCAGAGGTACCGGGGTTCTTGCGGTCCTTCTAACAATCCACATTCGCCCTCTCTAGCCCCCCTTTTGAGCTCTCACCTTGTAAACAATCGAAGGATCGCAATCTGTAAAGGAGAAGTGGTGTAGCCGTAGGTTCGGAAGTTGGTCTCCACGATGATGAAGCCCTCGGCTGGTTGCCACGTGGAGGACTCTGATAGGCTGGCCGACAGATTTGACGCAAGCCGCGTCGGGTAGAAGCAGGACTGCCCGCCAGCCTATAAAAAAAGACACTTGAACATTTCACAAAGGATCGCTCTGTCGAGCCCTTCGATTCATGACTGTCTTGCACCGCAGGTTCACGGGAGGGTTCCTACACGCTTCTAAAGTAAACGGTCGCTTCCGCATTCCGGCAACGAAGCTGACGTCCTGCGAATGCGCGCCAGCATCAAAACTTCGCTTGTTTAAATGATAGGAAAGGTTCAACTTAAAGAAGCGAATTCATTCTGATGGCTTCGCGCATTACGCCCCACAACTTTAAGCCACTGAATGCTTTCTTTCCGCTCGTGACGAGCAGAGCGGCTTTCGAAAGCATTTCCCACCTGAGCAGCTTGAAAGACGCACTTTGAAACGGGATAGAACGGTGTCCCATAGCTCTGTCAGCACGATTCAAAGGTTAGTGATCCGTGGAACTCGCGAATATCTTCCCTGCTCGTCATCTTTACTGAACGTCCCAGCTTCTGCCTTCTCCTCAAATACGTCGTCAAACGAATTCGCTTCTCACCTTCTGAATATAAACAAGCCCCACGCTCGCCAGGTCCTCCACGACTCGCTTCTGCAGGCTGGAGAGCCTGTTCACACCGTGTGGTTCGCCCAGGGGGTAGAACCCAAGCTCCATCAGAAAGCACGTGACCTGGGCGCCGTCCAGGCCTTGGTCCTGCAAGGGTGTGAAAACTCTCCTCTTGAGATTTTTGCATCTGAATCAGAACATTTCGAGGCGAAAAGGACTTCTTGAACGTTTAAACCATGTCTGTTGAGTCCGCAACGTTGGAGAGCTCAGACAGGAACGGATTGACTACTCTCTGTCGTGAAGTAAGACTTTTCCAAAAAGCCAACAGAAAGCGACAGGCATGTATAGTGATTATCGATGTATGAATGCCTTGAATGACGTGGATCGCCCTCCAGAAAATGAGGTGGTCAACAGTGTCGGAACGATTCTTCACACATTCAAACCTCTGTTGCTCACTGGCTTATGCGCCTCCGCTCTAGTGAACAAGGGCAAACCTCTACTCATACTTAACACACGCACCGTCACCACTTAACAGCAACCAGCCTGCTGTATTAAGGCAGACAAACTGATCACGTCACTCCTCACCTCAATCTCCGCCACATACTCCCGCACCACGACCCACAGCTGCTTATACAAGTCCATCAACAAAAACCGGAAACCCTCGTCCGATATCCGAACGCCCCCCTCGTCCGAAGTCCCCATCAGCCCCGCCCTCCTCAGCAGCCCCTTGATCATCTTACTCGGCTCCTGGTCGCCTCTCCTTTCGCCACCTGGCGCCCCCGCATTGGCCAGAAACAAGAGCAGTGATTCCCACTGCTTTAGAGCGTATGCATTTAGGTCTGCGGGGGAGGGCTTATGGGATGCGAGGGCGGGGGGGAGGGGATCTTTTGGAGGACCGATGGCACCGGAGAGGGCGCGTTGGAGTTGTTGCTGGAAGACGGGATTTAGACGGTATGAAGCGTCTTTCTTGCCAGACCTGCCGAAAGAGAGGAAGATATCTGAACGACCTATAAGCTTAGGACTGTTGGCGCGACTGGGAAGCACCACAACCGGTCTGGATAAGTCCTTGGGGTCGGTGGAACGCAGGTGAGGCAGGGGAGATCAGAAACTGGGAAAGAAGTAAGGGGGGAGGGGAATGCTAAGTGAAACATATGGAGTGAAGGAGGTTGGAAGCGTTGAAGGAAGGAGGGGCATGAAAATGCTGATTATCAATTGGCCGCAATTGTGATGAAAGGAAGTCACTGCCAGTGCTACCCTTTTCGGGACAAGTATCAGGCGACGTGTCAGGATATTTCCTGAAGCCTTATCACAATGCAAAATCATGACCAACTGAGACACATCACGCCGATCAATATGCACAGGACCCTCCTGAGGTCTTAAGATTCCCTATGTTGGTTACTGGTTGCACCAGCTTCCAGGTGGGGGGATAGAAATCCAAGACACCGGCTCAGACTTCTCAAGAAGCATGATCACATGGAGAGCACTCACTTTCCCCCCGTCTCTAGTAGCACCCGCAGCTGATCCAGCCTTTCCATTGCAGCGTTGTGCTTCCCAAGCGCCTCTGGTTTCGCCCACCCCCGCATCGTCTCGCCAGCGATCGGCTGCTCAATGAACAGTAACCGAAGGACATATTGCTTGGCGATGGGGGGCAAGGACCTGCAAAGCGGAGCCAGTTGTTTTTCTTCAGCAAGACTAGATCCTCATGAGTTTGGGCTTAAGTAGAGGGGCTTTTAAGGTAGGAGTGCCATGCCCAGCTTAAAAAGCGGGCAGGAGGAAAGAGAAGGGGATTGAGTTCCTCAAAGTGCGTCGCTGCTTATTTTCAGCCCAGACAGTCAGTCTGGAGGCAGGTCTCCCAGGTGATCACAAGCATAATCACGTCCAACTTACTTGCAGCAACAGGTCAGAAGGTCCAGTTCAGAAAAGCAATTGGTTGAAGTGGACGGCATCGCCTTTTGGCAGCCACTCGCACGTTGCTAAGCATCAATGCAAAGATTCCACAGCGCAAAATCAGTGGCTGTGGCACTACAAAATTGTCCCTCTGCAGAGCAGAATGCAATCTCTTCGACCAGAAAAGATCCGGTCTCAGAACTTCATCCATTATTGCACCACCATGTACTGAAGCACACCTTACCTGAGGACTGCTTGGCAGGTGAAGTGGCTCTCATACAGCCGGTCGAGCTTCACAGGAGGCAGCTCAGAAAGATATCGAATGAAGTCCATCCTGCCTGGTCAGCAAAAACCTCACTTGAGAAGGGCAATGCTGCCAGCCGCAGGTGAACAAAGCGGCCTCCCCGTTGCAGGACTCAGCAGGCGTTTAAGCCCAAGGCAGGTTCATGAGGAGCTCAGCAGGAGAGGGTTTCCCCAAAATCCCGAAGCAAAACCCTTAAAAATCGAGATTGTCATACCTTTCTTCAAATTGCTCGACTACTACTATTAGTATTACTATTAGTACAGGCCTAGAGCAACTCACTTTCAACTCCATGCAGGTTTTCAGGTGTGTGGTGTGTGTGGGTTTCTGGGCGCTGCATTCAAATGGCGTCAGGAGAGTTTCTGAGCCTTGATGAAAGGTGGCACACTCGCTGAATTGTAGAAAACTTTCACAGCACCCACTGACAAAGGGCATCACGTCATTTTCTGGCCACCATAGGGCCACCATTATCATTTACAAAGAAATTGCAGCCCCACCGAAATCATGGAAGCTGCATTTGGCACACACAGATGCTTCCTGTTCCCGAGTGCAAGTGTTTCGCAACAACTTCTTGGTGGTCCCGACCCCTTTCTGCAGCGCACCACCCTAGCATCGAGCGTGCACTTTCCATTAGGGTTCGGCACCAGGAACATCCGTGAGAGCAAGTCAAGAGCGGAATCCGCAGTGCGGTGCCAATGCCGAGTAGGAGAGGGTTTGGCGAAGTTGAGTGAAAATAGCGCGCAACGGCATTGCGCTCAAGAGTTTCCACGTCTTTCTGATGGTGAAGTGAGGTTGGGTTCTTGTTCGGAGTCCAGTGGTGGGGCAGATGAGCAGCTTGAACGGTCCGAGCGGCTTGAAAGTTTTGAAACCACCGCCGCTCTCATAGCGCCTGAAAGTCCTCTTGAGGAGGAGCTTGCTGAAACCAGTTTTCACAGTAGCGCTACGTCCTCACACCACTTAGGACATCAAACCGCAAACTCTCATCTAGACTCCAAAACCCAAAACCCTTCTTCGGACCTTAGAGAAGCAACCGCCGCCGATGACGCAACATCAGACTCTCCAATCAGCCTTGATGAAGTGTCCGTGGCACAGAATGAGGCGTTCGATCGGCGACCCTCAAAGCCGGTTGTGTATATAGTGGACATAATGCCAATTTGTTATCGAGGGCGGGGGCGAGGCAAGCTGGACCCCAGAGCATGCCTGGAGTGGATGGAGGCGCTGATTGGCATCTCAGGGGACTCGCCAATCATTGGGGTGGGATCCACTAGCCGGCTTGGGTTTCACGGATTTAGGGCTTTTGGGTTTTACCCGGGATTGCCCTCATAGAAAGCTTCCTATCACTCCTTCCTTTCTTGAGTGTCCTGCTTTAAACCGTGTCAAGCCAATCTGCCCCCTATCAACACAATCTGCCCTTTCTTGCTCCTCAGGATGTTTGAAACGCAAGTTTTGGTTATGTCTTTGAAGTCAAACTGGGGCCGCAACCAGGGGGCGTCCTTTCACCAATCCCGACAGGTGTCTCTACCACACATTCCTCTGAATTCAAAAAGACTTGCTGCAGGTTTTGGACGGGGACAACGGCAATGCGTGGCGCCGCGAACTCTACCCCGACTACAAATCGGGTCGAAAGCTGTACCACCCATGGCCGACAATCGGCCACCGGCGGAACCGTCACCGCGTGCACATTGACCCGTTTGAGAACATGCCCATGCTGGAACCCCTTTTCAGGCTTCTGAACATACCGGTGAGCAGTGTGTCTTCTGAATACACTCCGCGCCTTCCATGTTTCTGCACTCATCTCCGATATGGCAAGATTTAAAATCATAGGCCTTTAGCCGAAGACCTTGTCAGTTGGAAAGTGTACAGCACCGGGAGGCGATGTCTATGGGAGGATAAAAAACAAAAAGCATGCAGAAGGCCAAATGGCAGTCTCTCATAAGTTCGCTTCCGTTCTCGTCAAAAGCTTGCTGCGCCCCTCCAGGCGATTTGTGACGCTTTGCATCTGGTGTTTGTCGGCTCGAATAGTTTTGTGGATCAATTCGAGGCTATGAATGCGGATCAAACACTGAATTCCTGGACAGATTGTCAAAGTACCCCACGCGGAGGCGGATGACGTCATTGCGACGCTGGCCCAGCAGGCCGTCGACATGGGGCATCGAGTGAACATTGTCTCTCCGGGTGAGCTATCCACCAGCCCATCCTTTTCTGCCACCTGTCAGATTAATTGCATCCACCTTCGGTAAGGTTTAGAGATGCTGCGTATGAAGAGAAAGTTTCTGGGTTGTGAATTTGTTGGTTGAACGTCTCAGCTTGGAAAATAGAAAAAGGAGCTCTTGGAAATAGTGGGCGACTCTCCTTATGCTGCAGCTTCAAACACCGATCGGTACAGGAAAACGGAATCGTTCCCTTTTTGCAGACACTGACCTGCGGCAGTTGCTGAACGAGCGCATCTCCATCTGGGCGCCCCGCGCGGAGCTGATGCGTGAATTCAACTTCTTTGACGGGCGCAAGTTCGAAGAGCGGGTCGGGTACCCCCCCGAGAAGTTCGTCCTACTTCGTGAGTGCCTATCAGCGGGTCTAGTTTTCAAAAACGTCTCCGATCAAGTCTGGCAGTGGGGGCGGTTTTCGCTGGCGCCTTCTTTGCTTGACGCAGTGCTGAGGTCCCTCTTTTACCTTGTTGACTTTGTCGAGCTGCTTCTTGTTTCTTGGTTTTCCGCCAGATCGACGTCACTCTTTCGATTTCGTAGTCTTTGCTGATTTCCCATGTCACTTTCGAGCCATACTTCATGTGATTCTCCAAGCTGCCTGCGACCAGTCTAAGGGGACCACTACCTTGGAGACCAGGGTTACTCAGTCGCCCTCCTGGATTGACGACAACCCTCCTTTCCTAACTTTCTGACAGCCTTTTCAGCGACCACTGGGACACTTTCACAGACTCCATGCCACTCCTTTCTCGGTCGCCTTGCCTTTCCCAAAACACACCCTTTCACCCGCTTTCCAGGCTGCCTTTTGGGCGACCAATCGGACGCCATCCGGGGCCTGCCGTTCTACGTCCCCGAATTTGGACGCAACTCCGCGATCAAGCTCATCGAAAAGTTCGGGTCCGTCGCGGAACTTTTGGAGGCGGCGCGGATGCGGACGATCGGACGGCCGTACATGCAGGACGCGGTCCTGGAGTACAGTCAGGTGCTGGAGCTGAACGAGCGGCTGATCACGCTCAGACGGTGAGTTCGTAAAGGCCTTTTTACCAGTGCGCACAAGAGTGCCTGAAGCTCAGAGAAGTCGGCACGAGACTGCATGTCGCTTTATGTTCAAAGATCGGTTACGGAGGGGTTACCTGTATGTACAGGAGACGGAGTAGGAAGTCTGTCAGGAGCGGGCACGGGTTAGGTTTCTTAAACCAGGTTTGAGAGTTTGTTAGCAGTCTTTGGGCTACCGTATTCTGCTTTTCTCCCCGCTGGATCAATCACTGAACGGAAAAATGCGTCCGTCGGGTGCGCAGTAGCAGCCAAGAAGAGGGGAAGTGCTCCGCTCCGATGGGATTGACGGAGTCAAAGATCGACAGGGGTTAGCAGAGAACTTTCACTACAGAAGAAGAGACGTTTACAACGACTTTCTTGAAACTCACTACACCCACTTCTCGAATCCGCTCCAGATCACAACCTTTTGAGCTTCATTCTGCTAGGGACGTGAAGGCCGTGGTGCTCGACCCCGCCTGGCTGCAACATGGGACCGGTCGACAGAACCGGGAGCGTACAACGACCCTCCTAAAGCCTACAACCCCACTTTACAATTCTGCCCCAAAACGAGATTCTCTAAGTCTCCCATCGCCAGGGACGTGGAGGGGGTTGCGCTCGACCCCGCGTGGCTGCACCCCGAGAATTGATCATTGCATACAACAGCCCTCCTAAAGCCTAAGTACTCCAAATCAGGGAGTC